TGTGTGCTACTATGGTGATGGTGCACGCACCTAAGGCAGTCTGTGGAAAGCTACAAGTGTAGGTAGCAATAATGGATGTTACAAATATACGTATATGGCAATATACATTTGTATATGAATCAGTTACTGAGGACAAAAACAATAGCTAACCATTGAATGAGGATACAATAATTTGAATCTTCAGACCTCGAGAAGAGTGGTTGTTGGCCTACCAGGCATTATATGAAGAAACAGCATGCCTGTTAATTTCATTAATGCATTTGTTAATGAAATATTTGGCAAGTAGGGGATTTTATGGAAACAGATAAGAGTAATGATTAAACTCATGCTACACTAGCAGGAAAACACAGTTTGACATATATTTCACAGGTTTTGACCAGAAACATTTCAGTTTGACTGAACTGAAATGTGAGTGAGTAAGGTAAAATTACGTGTGGAAAGTAAATTTAATTGAAGTTATGCCCAAAGCTACACTGTGGGCTATCTGTGCTCTGCCCGCCACGGGTATTGAAACCCGGTTTCTAGCGTTGTAGGTCCACAGACATACCGCTGTGTTACTGGGGGGCCGAAAGACAGGAGTTCTGAAGTTTCTGTAACCAATTTTTTGTTATTCTTATTTTGGTTAGGAGTTATGTAAAAAAAAAAATGTTTGCACTGTGGTAATAGTTTATATAAATGTGTGTATTTATTTTGAATAATGTGCAATTAATTCTTATGTATTTGAATATTTTAATGACAGTTTTTTGTAAAAATGTGTTTATTTTAATGTAATTAGTATTAAGGATTTTAGTTTGTAATTATTTATTTTATTTTACCTTGGTAAAGCATGCTATGTGCACATTTATAACGGGTTTAAAATTTTATTGAGGGTACTTCTATATGTATATATATGTCTGTTGTTGTTTTTTTATAGGGCTTTTAGTTCTATGACGCGTTTGTTTTTCTTGGGTGATGTGGATGGGTGTGGGAGTTGTTCTAAGGCTGTTCAAGAATTTAGATATTTTCAATGACTAGCTCCGAGGGCTTCATTTTCAGCATATAAGCGTGGGTTGTATATGATTTAGGTATATAAGGTTTCGGTTTGTATTTTGTATAATGCAACGTTTTTTTACATCATTACAGTTCCAGTGCAATGTAACTGAGTTTGATATTTTTTGGGAAAAGGTTATTTTCATGTGGAGTTTTACGTAACAGAAGGCTATTTTTTCTGTCAACAAATCGGGTGTTGGACTTGGGATGCCACGCTCTTGCACATGAATCACTATAGGTGAAGATAATGTGCACACTGATCATTTAGTAAGCAACCTGGTGTGGTTTTTGTTATTGTGTAAGTACTAAAAGCTAGGTTTTTCTCTGTAACTTAACTTTGTGGAGAGATAACGTAGATTTTATTATAACCACAACGTTGTTTGTGTTTTAGATATTATTTTAACTCACTTTGAACACTTTCTTGTTTTTTTTTTATATATTTTATCGTTGAGGTCTTTTAGTAATTTAACTTTATTTTACCTTACAGAAGATGCTCATATTAGACTGATGAGAGAGAGGTCACTAAGGTTTCACTTCACCTCTATCTCTCTCATGCCAGTCCATCACACACCTTGCAAACACTCTTGTCCTTGTTTTGTTTTAGTGCATTGTGTTTGTCTCTGACTGTTTCTTTGTTATTAAAGATTCTAGTTATGCACTTTTTGTTTTGACTATTTCTTCAAGGTCAATTCAGAGTAATGTATCCTTACTCTATTGCTTCATACTCGTTGGACCTCCAGTTAGTGGACTTTACTCAGGCTCTGTGGTAAATCCATCTATCAGAGTATACCACAGATATTATAATGTTTAAAAGTAATGTTAAAAGAAGTGCATTTTTATTGACAAACAGATAAATACATAAATAATTATATTTCTGCGCCCATTCCTTTTTAACATCTTTCAAAACCTGAATCAGACTAGGGAACAAGTGTATAAGACACGGGGATTGTTTTAAAACCCATCTTATAACATGATGATGTAACAAAATCCAGAGACATGCGTATATCACATGCACTGACTGAGCACTTTATCAGGACACCCAAAAACACAAATTTTGTATATGCAAATTAGACTGATCATGTGATGTGTCGGGTGATTATTTGATTCTTATAAATGGCAAAAAATCATAAAAATTGTTGATATGCAAAATAATGAGTAAGAGCAAGGATGTATTCGACTTCCGCAGAAGTGTGAAAGTGAGTATCCATCCAGCCATAGTTTTGTTATTAACTATCAGTTCGGTGATCACCTTTTCAAAATATTTGTCACCAGAGACTAATATTAGAGGCAACTGTAAGGAAGGCTGTCATTAGGAAAGTTCTGGTGACTAAACATGTAAAAACAATTGGACAGATTTACAAAATGCAACAGATGTCAGGCAGTGTCTCAATTGACCAGTTCTTTTAACAATAGTTAGGATTCGGCTACCTCCATCCATGTGAAGGACATTACAAACCAGTTATTTCAGGTATAAATAAAGAAGCATCACTTTATTGGTTGTTAGAACGAAAATGTAAACATGTGATAAGCAAATATCATGACTGTAGTACTTTCATAAGTTAAAAACTGATTACATGCTTACTCGCGTGTATTCAGGTACATTTTTCGAAATTTTAATACAACTTTCTGTACTTGTTTAGACATTTTACATGAATAGGATATGTACAAACCTGAATTCTTTAATCTTGTCTTCAGGATTTGTCTCCATTTGCTAAGCCTGTTTATCTCAGCATCTAGTCTGCCTGCTGGATAGCTTGTTAAGTGGGTTTCAGTGAGATATCTAACACTTCTGGTTGCTTTGTTCTTTTAATAAGACTTTGTTGGTGACAGGACGATGTGGCTTTCTGAAAAGATTTGTTATTCAAATATTGTGGTGTTAATGCAAGTGTTACTCTTCTAAGTACGATGGTAGATAATGCTTCAATGAAATAGTTAACGCTTTATCACGATAAAAATGTTTGTTTGTTTCTCTCTCTCTTAAGGAAGAGTACCCTTTTCTATATCATGCCAGTAACCACTTTTAACTATTAGTGTTTTTTGTTTTACACAGTTGATATTTCTTTTGACATCAAGTTGTAACTAGGATTTAATATATTCGTAAACAAAATTACTTTTTCGTCAGATTCGATTGAGGTTTGTGCCATGAACTCATCAGATCCACAGTTTTCTAGAATAAATAGCTTTGCACTGCTGTTTACAGAGAAGACAATCGTTCGTTAAGAAATAAATGTTTTCCCTTGTCATTCTTTTACACTGTTCTCAATTGTTTATTCAAATTAAAGAGTTTTTGTTTCAAAGTAAAACAACTGTGGCTAGTATCTTAGTTGTTGTTTGGGGGTCGAGTTTGAATTAGTGCAACTTTGATACTAATTTTCAAAATTTATTTTAATTGTAGTCTTAATAATCTTAACTATTGGCTATATCTTAACTATATTAATGGTAAAAATAAACCTGCAGAAAACCACATGAAACACTCGATCCTGTTTTCACAGTCAATACAAGCTACTAGAAGTGGTAAAATGGTTTGGGGAACGTTCTCACAGTAGAAGTTGGATTTTTTTTATTCCTTCAGATGAGTGCACCCGTACATTGTTGTTGATCAGGTCCCCTGAAGAAAGCTATATTTCCATGCTGATAGTCAAAGGCTTTTCCATGACCATAATACAAAAACCTTTTGCCTGTATTGTTCGGAGTTGTTTTGAAAAACATAACAGTGATTCCAGGGATCTTTCTTAGCTAAGCCACATTGAATCTCCTAATGCACATCCTTCGAATAAACTTAAACGATACATCATCACCTTAATCAAATTAGACACCTTCTGGCGTTTTGCGAAGTCTATCTCTGACCAGCTGAGGCGATTATCGAAATGAAAGCTGGTCTAATGAGATATGAGATGATATCCCAATTGATTAGATAAGCAGTGTATGTCGGCTTGATAAGGAATAAAAAAAAAATCATTGTAATAAACTATTCATAAAAACTCTTATTTCTGGAAACTGTTTTCGTTAAAATGTCCAATATATGCGTTATATCTCTATGTTTGTTATTTTCATTTATTTATATATTATGAGAACTGTTTTGTGTTGTCAGCTTACTATGTGGATTTAGGACTAGCTCATAAAATATTACTGGGATTACGGACGAAAAACTCGTTAATAGTGCACTGTAATCATTATAAGTTATTGTTCCATGACATTGCATACTTGTTGTTACACTGGTGTGTGAAATTAGTTACAGTAATTACTGAGTTAAGTTGTAGTTCTTGTCCACGTAGGAAGCTTGCTATGATAAGAAATTATTGTTAAATAGTTATTTTTTATATAATAAGGTAGCAGGAGTAGAAACTTTTATAAATTCTTCATATTTTATGCAATTTGGCAAAATACGCCATACTGACCTAATTGTTAGTGAAACTCAATGTTATTCAAATATTGTGGTGTTAATGCAAGTGTTACTCTTCTAAGTACGATGGTAGATAATGCTTCAATGAAATAGTTAACGCTTTATCACGATAAAAATGTTTGTTTGTTTCTCTCTCTCTTAAGGAAGAGTACCCTTTTCTATATCATGCCAGTAACCACTTTTAACTATTAGTATTTTTTGTTTTACACAGTTGATATTTCTTTTGACATCAAGTTGCACAATACAAAAGTATAGTGTTGTGATATATCAACACCAGATATGTTACACAGATACTGAACTTGATATATACTTGTTAGTAATCTAAACTACTGTTAGGCCACTGTCAGATGTTGATACTTGCCCCCACCCCCCAGTGGTTCAGCTGGAACTCTGAATGCTCACTCCGCTAAAAGTCGGGTTTCGATACCCGTGATGGGCAGGGCACAGACAGACCATCGTGTAACCTTCTGTCTAACAACCCACCAACGCCAACTATTAATACTAGAGAGGAATGCAGTGCGTCAAGACAGGGATTAGTGAGTTGATGCATGTATTTTTTATTGCAGATTTGTAAAACTAAAATACATAAATAATGTGTAACAAAAAACTGATTCAGAACGCGTTGCACTAGAATCGTGGAAATCAATGTACAAAAACACAACATATAACACTTGCTCATATACTGAGCAGCATATAACACTTGCCTATTTTCTTAGGGGAAAAAAATTGCAGACTTAACACAGCAACTTGAAACGTCATATTTCTCTCAGTTGCTACTCTAGTTCCTCCAAGCGGACACACGTGATATTTTTATTAAGTGCTAAAGTGTTAATAATGGCCAGGATGGCGAGCCTCTACTGGCGCATATCCGTGAACCTGTGGAACGGCAGGACCATAACCAGGGGCAACACCATATGGTGCAGGATGTCCGTGACCATTAGCAGGAACGTTATGTTTCACAGGAACAGGATCCGAGTAAACACTGACATGAGCTGGGTTTTGGCTATGGGTGCCAGGTTCGTTGGTTTTTATATTAGCACGGAAGCCATATTCATCAGCTACGTATTCCACCTGACGGTTGATACCATAAGCATCAACGTAACCATAGGAACCTTGCTTGTTTCCATATTCATCTCCCTGTTCTCGTTGCCACTGCCGGTCACCATAATCATTCTCGATCTCGTAACCAAAATTGTAGGGAAACGGTTTATACTGAAATTAAGTGAAAAAAAAATGAATATAAATTATTTTATTAAACATAAACAGATAGATCTCTAGTATGGTACTATATTTTTACTTTTCTGTATACATTTTATAATATTCTTACAACTAATACAAGAAATAATAGACAAAATGATTTTGCGCAGGATCCCCGAAAGTGTGCTGTTTCAAAAGTAAATAAAACCTAAATTAAGAGTAACAAATATTTTTATTTCTTGCTTTTGAAGTTCATATGTCGCTGTAGCCTACGTAGTGCATAATTATTTTCGTGATTCATAACATGCGCGCATTTTACTGACGTCACGACAGTACAAATTGCAACGTTAAGCATCCCTTATGTAACGTTATTTTAGTGTCTACTGACTGACAGACAATACACTACTGTATAGTGGTGCGAGTGGTTAAAACAGGTGACCCCTCAAAGCAGTCTTTGGGCCCCTTTCGGGGAAATAACTACGATTTGAGATTTTATATTGAAAAAAGAAAGGGGCACATAATTAAAAGCTTGAAATATGCCAATAGTTTGTTTGTTTGTTTGTGATTAAGCACAAAGCTACACAATGGGCTATCTGTGCTCTGCCCACCACGGGTATCGAAACCCGGATTCTAGTCCACAAACATACCGCTGTGCCACTGGGGGGGGGGGGCTATGCCAATAGGATTTTACTAAATGATAATTAAGTAGATGTGCTATTTCAGTAATTTTTGAGAGGAAAATTACATACCTAGTTCTGCCCTTGGTGAAAGCCCAACAGATCCGGTGAAAGTCTACAAGTAAAAGTGAACTATTAGTCCGTAATGGACTTTCTTTTTGAAGCTCTTGTAATTCACTTTAAATGCCTTACCTTAAAAGTTTTGTTGATTATTTTAAGGAGACTGTACTCCTCCGTACTTTTCCTCTTGAAAACGTGGAAAACACGCGAAAATTGGCTAAAAATGAGCAGAATCTCTGCTAGGATTTTCAGCAGCTTTCATTCTCCAAACAAATTGTTGTAAGACAGGGGAAATGGATCGGAAGTTAGGAGGTGTAGCAGTCGAGTCGAGAAACTTGGCAGAAATAGCAAAGCAGTTGCGTCATTTCTTGTTTTCAAAGCAGTCAATTTCACAGTAGAGATGTGGTCAGTATTTCTACTGTCTGAATTTGGTACATTTAATGCATTAAATCTAATAATAATAATCTTGTTTTTTTTAGGTCTGTTAATAGAGCACTTGTTTGGTATGCGAGAGGCCCAGAGTTCGAATTCGAACCGAGGAAATACAAAAAAAAACTTACATTACCATACACTTACATAGGGTTCAGGTGCGTAGCCTGCTTTTCCATGTACTGGAGCGGGGTATCCATGTGCCGGAGCTGGGTATCCATGAGTCGGAGCGTACTGAGCGGCAGCGTATCCCAGGAAAAAGCAGAGACATACGACCTATAGAATAGTGGAAAATATTTCAATACCTTCTCATTACCAACCCAGGTATCATTATCCACATTTTTATATTAGGTTTTACTTTGATTATTAACAAACGGGACATTTTGATCCATCGCTTTATAATGATTAATCAAGAATTAATTCTTAGGTTATTTTCTCCACACTTAACAAATTTATTATTTAAAACAATAAAGATAGACACATATAAATCACATTGGCCATATATGATCTGTTTGATAATTTTGTTACTTTGATTGTATGCTGTGACTTACAATTATATATATATATAGAGAGAGAGAGGGAGAGAGATCAAGTACTGGTTCAGGAAAATATAAAGTTTTTTTATTAATTTTATTACATAAAGTTTACACCAGATTGACTAAAGTTATTGCAATATCAAAAGAATGAACTATATTGATTATAGCCTTAAATATATAAGGTTTTTCTGTGATCCATGTTTTATCAAGAATAAGCTTAAAATTGTTCTCAGGCCTTCATTTATCTTCGTTTCATGGGCTTTAAATTTTCGAAAGCAAATTATCCAGAAAAAAACAACAACAAAGTCACTAATAGTGCTTGTTGACAATTGTATAACTTATGAGTGCATATCTACAACATACAGGACTGCTTACTGCTAGCGTATCTCACCTTCATCATATTGACGCTGAATAATAACCTGTGTCAGCAGCTTCACACAAGAGAGAACTGAAAACGTTTAATATCGATCTCTGGCATGCTCGGATTTTTATACTCCGCCGAGCTTTCGAAACTTTGGTGTTCGGTCCTTAATTAAAATCTGGGCCACTGTAATGAAACGACTCGGTTTTAGTTTTGGTTTTTCGTCTGAACCTCACCTGTTTGCTGGGTGTAGGCGCCTTACCCTGAAGCTATTGTTTGGCCGATCATCGCTCTCTGTCCAAACTTCCTGATCTGCATAGGATGAAGTAGTACCACCACGTGCTTTTTGGGTAACTGTCGGGAGGGTCATATAAACCTGCTTTCAGAAATGTAACTGCAGGCTTAACTATGATAAAGGAACTTCGTTAAGTATCCCGCCCTTGTGTTGCTATTTTCAGAAAGATTTCACTCTTTATTACTCAACACACGAATAAGAAAATCCAGTTTTTGTATGATCTGGTTTCGAAACATTAATTTTTGCTCTGGAGTAATTATATAGGTTATTGTAGAAGTGGCTTATTGTCTATTAATGTTAGAAAAACAGAAAAGTGAAATAATAGTTTATACCCGAATTCCATCACTTTCTACACTGTCTTTTTTAAATATTATGTTGTTTGTATATGTTCGGCAGACCAACTGCTTGAAACAAAACACTATATACAAAGTGTCACGATAGAGTGTCAGTTGGAGGAAGCCGCCTTTCAAAGTTTTCATGCAGTCCTAACAGCGATTTGTATCTTAAGATGTTATTCTCTTTTCTGAATTTTTTTTAAATTTAAAGATCATCTTAACATGAAATAAAATATAATTTCTCGCATTTGGAACCTTCTTTGCGGTGTTTCATTCTAATTTATTCTACGAGGTGTCATTTGTTTGTAGTTAAGCACAAAGCTACAAAATGGTCTATCTGTGTTGTGCCCATCATGGGTATTGAAACCCGATTTTTATCGTTGCAAGCTTTCACACAGCAGCACCGAACCATCGAGGGAGGGGGAAGGGACATCTCAAAAAGAAAAAAACAAATAAAAATCAATCATATCTCAGAAAATTCTGTGAGACATTAGACCTAATCTAGTTAACCTGTTAAATTGTTGTCACACGCCTAAGCCTAATATATTGAAGAACGATAATCGTCTCCTTCAGTATACCTACTAAAGACATTCGAGCTAATGACATAGTCGGTTTATGATGGGTGTCATAAATCTGAAGAACACCTGGCAATTTATTTTAAAACGAATACATTCAACATTTAACGTTTATTATAAGCGGTATGAGCCCTTTAAGCCAGTTATTTTATTTATTTTTTGTATATAAATCCAGTAATAAGGGTCATGTTCTAAATTAAGCTGAAATAGTAATGAACATTTGAATTAATCGTTTTTTGCTGTTGTTCAGCTAACTAGACAAGTCCATTCGAACTTGAACACTTTGTGCCTTTTGACCTTTATACTCTCGTGTTTCATTACATCCTTCAAAAGATGCTTAGATGTCTCTTGCTGTTACTTTGTCTAATATGCACTGGTTATGTTGACTCTTAACCTTCCTGTTATCAAGACCTCAGAGTTAACCTGATTAACATGATTACACTTAACTTCCTGTTATCAAGACCTTAAAGTTAACCTGATTAACATGATTACACTTAACTTCCTGTTATCAAGACCTTAAAGTTAACCTGATTAACATGATTACACTTAACTTCCTGTTATCAAGACCTTAAAGTTAACCTGATTAACATGATTACATTTCGAACGCAACTTCTATTTTTGTTCTACGCTGAACTTTTGCAGTTTTAAGTTTTGTTTTTAAACCATACCTATTATAAAAGACTGTGGAATATCTACGCAATGAAATAATACTCGATTCGAGTTCATAATGTGACGATGCTGGTAGTCAACGGCAAGACGTCATAAAGCTAAGTGATGCTAAGTCCATAAAGCTAAGTCCAAAAAGTACTTTCGTTATCAGTGATGGGTGAATAATAATAATAATCACATAAACAACAACGTGTGGTGTGTCTTACTTTCCTTATTATTAGATTTCCACTGTTGAATAATAATAATAATCACATAAACAACAACGTGTAGTGTGTACTTCATTTCCTTATTATTAGATTTCCACTGTTATAATAATAATCACATAAACAGCAACGTGTGGTGTGTCTTACTTTCCTTATTATTAGATTTCCACTGTTGTAATAATAATCACGTAAACAACAACGTGTAGTGTGACTTCCTTTCCTTATTATTAGATTTCCACTGTTACAATAATAATCACATAAACAACAACGTGTGGTGTGTCTTACTTTCCTTATTATTAGATCTCCACTGTTATAATAATAATCACGTAAACAGCAACGTGTGGTGTGTCTTACTTTCCTTATTATTAGATTTCCACTATTATAATAATAATCCCGTAAAAAACAACGTGTGGTGTGACTTACTTTCCTTATTATTAGATTTCCACTGTTACAATAATAATCACATAAACAACAACGTGAGGTGTGTCTTACTTTCCTTATTATTATTAGATTTCCACTGTTATAATAATAATCACATAAACAACAACGACAGGTGTTTCTTACTTTCCTTATTATTAGATTTCCACTGTTACTTTGATACATTTATTGGTTTCCAACACACACAAATATTTTGAGTGTATTTAATAAAATATTTACACATGAATTTGGAGGTTATTGAAACAGCGTATGGGAAGCATTTAGGAGAACATAGGCCACAGATTGGCACGACACCGCTAGTCAACAGGATAACAAGAGCCAAAAGCTATCATTCCAAGCCACAACTTTTCAAAATGCTCAGAAAATTTGTCCAAACTTTGGATCCACCTAAAGCAAATGTTGATACAATATTTCTAATGGAGAAAAAGTGTATACTGCGTCGCATTATGAATACACATATTCAGTAGTACTAAAAACATCGACAGAAAACACTATTCTTCAAATAAAACTAATGTTTTGTAGATCTTTACTTCTTTATTTTGTTATTAAATCCCTAATGAACTCATTGTATACTGATTACATTCCCTGTTTTGTGAACTCACTTAACTGATTAAGTACTTGTTTGCCTCTTTAAATTCAAAGTCAAAAATTCCATAAAAAGTGGAAATGTGCTTTACTTTAGGGTGTTTTATCCCCTTTCTCGAGCAAAAATCCTAAAACAAAATAGCCTATGTACACTACCTGACAGTTTTTAGTTACCATACCAAAAATTACGGTAATCGAACCAGCCAGTTTTAGGTGGTGGATGTTAACACACATAATGGATCATCTTCATAATAAGGTTAAAAATAAGTTCTGGATTTATGCTTTGAGTGATTAGTAAAATTGAAACAAATACCTTTGTTCGTTAAACAATATTTAGTTAGTGATAAATAAAGAAGGCTGGAAAAAAAATAAACCAATTGTTGAATTTTGATTTCTCAATTAAATCAGACGAGAGCTTCCTCATTGGGTGACATCTATCGTTCGCTTAAATTAATTGAAACCGGCCTAATTATGTTAGGCTAACAATTCTTAATTTACCTCATTACAAATATGAAATTTTCAAGTAAATTATCACACACACACACTCACACTGTTTCGAAAAAAAGTTGATATTCGTTCAGTAATATTCTGTACAATTACAAAAGTCTCAAGCTGAAAACAAAAATCCCTCAAACAATAAAGACACAAGACAAAAACATTAATACTTGGAATGAATAATCTCATTTGCAAATAATATTTGGAAATCAGTTTCATGTGTCTATTTCTTTATTCCCAATAATGTGTTTTATGTTTTATTCAAATAAAAGGAAACAAAACATAAACAATTGTCTTACTTTGCACTTCTCATTAACCCCAGTAAAATATTCATTTGAATGTTTATGATAAAATATTATTTGATTAAAACATGTTATTCATTTTGTTTATCTAAACGGATACAGTTCGTACTTCATTAAGAAAAACATGAAATATTCAATCAAGTTTTAAAGTATGTGCATTTGAATGAATAAGATGTTGTTTCTTTCTTCCCTTATTTGATAAAGTCACGAATTAGTTATTGCGAACATTAATCATAATATCAAAAGCACTAATATCCTTCCGGTTATAGATATATATTACTCGACTAAATTTAGGCCAGTGTTTCACAACGAGCATTGTAGTATAAATACCGTTCATGTTTTTGCTATGACTAAATATATTCTTGTTTATTTGTTTCTATAAAGGGAATACGAAGAAATGTGAGAGGAGAGAAGAATGTGAGCAAACTAACACTCGGACACAAGAGTATGGGGTATTCCAGGAGTCACGATATATAACACATACATATTTGTTCACGAGAGGATCGAGGATTTGATTGATGAATAGAAATGTGATTGGCTAAATGCCGACGAAATACAATAGACTAGACTAATCTGCACTCAAAAGCAGGCACAGATCATGAGGGACAAAACGAAAGTTAAAAAAGAAGGCTGATTAGCAAACAGAAAACAATGGACGAAGACACAGTACAACTCGAGTCAGTCTTGGCTCCCTCAAAACTGGGATGAATCTTACCAAAGCTAGTCTCACGATTCATCTTCCGTCTATAGCTGACCAATTACACACTGAATTACAAGAATACAGAAATACTTCTCTGTGCAACAACCGTAAAGTAACCTAACACTCAAAGTGATGTTGAGCACAGTACAACTATTCCACAAAACAGTAGAGAATATTCTTAACTCACTTATGCCATGTGGAGTAACACCTATAGTTCAATTAGCAGGATTTGCCATCTTGATAACTAGAGATCTCAAAGAACCTAAATACTTTATTAGTGTATTAAACATATTCTAGAGGAGAAAAAGATGTGTGATATCTGCATATCACATAGCAAGCTTGTGAGTAGTATGAACCTGCTACTGTTTTGACATATTAGAGTTCAGGCTACTAGAACTGATACAAATAAACATCACTTTACTTGTTATAGCAGATTAATTATTTTTCAATGTTTGGCAAGCCAATAATATGATTTATCTAATAT